CATGTGTATGAAGAAACTTTTTCACTCTTTGCTTTCTGGGAATGTGACTTATGTATAAAAGTTGAAAACAAACCAAAAAATTTTTTTGAAGAATAGGAAGAAAAGAGGAAACATTTTAAAGATAACCTTGGCAAGACCTGGCATGGGATGATGAGAGTTGTGTTGGCGTGCACTTTAGGGACTTGCAGCCAGCATAGCTTGGCTTTAGTTAGAACCAGGAATGTGTTCACCAGGAGTTAATATAGCCAGAAATCCCTCCTCCTCCGGCCCCCCAACATCATCTTTCATGCCCAGATACCCTGGCCTGGAGATACTAGGGACACTCCCAATTGTAGACAGGAGCAGCTGTCCTTACCAGGAACAGTGACTTGGGGGACAAGAGCCTGGCTGCCTCTGCTGACTTGGGTCAATCATCATGCTTCTGGAGGGTACACCACTCCACGTTTCCAGTGTCTGGAAGCATTCCCCCCACCCCTTTCTCAGACCAGGAGGCCTCAGCACTCCCACTCCAGAGATGCGCAGTGAGCAATTCTGATGGACAGAAGGCTGAGTGAGCACAGCCCTATGCAGAATGCTAGAAGTGAACACCTGGGCCAAATCGTGTTGCTTCTGTGCAGTAGGAAACCCAACTCAAGCGCCTGACACAGCAACACCTATTTTGTAGATAATGCCACGGCCCTAAAATGAGCCTGAATGGGTGGTTCCTAAGATTGGTCTTCCACGGCTTGCGGCATAAGCCTAGGGTTTTTGACATAGTGGGTCCTAAAACATCAAACTTCTGCTCCACTCTACTTACTGCCAGAGTCAGTTCCAGAAGACGGGGTGGACATGATCTTGGCTGTCTTTGCTCTAAATCAGTCTGGGTAAGGGATGGCTTAAGGTGCCCAACTCTCAAGTGGGAACAAAATCGAAGTCTGTCTACAGAAGGATATGAAAATCTGAAGCCTTAGTGGCCAAATGGGGCAGAGTCTGAAATAAGACCACAAACAGACACCTGTTCTTCCCCGACCCTCTAGCCCCTGAGTGGACTTATGAAGCATGCACAAGAACGAAAAAAGCCAATTATTCCAGGCACAATAGCACCTACCTCCTTACTTCCTTGTATTTGTTCCTTAACCACTTTCAGGGCTTACAGACCAGATCACTGATTCCCCAAATCGTCACCACCCTGATCTGCTTTAAGAGACATTCACTCAGGCAATCACTCAGTCACCCCTGTGTAATATTCACACCTGAAGTACAGAGCTCTGTGTATGTCACTGCCCCCAACAAAACAAGCAAGCACACCCTCAGGTACAGCAGCAGAACCGTGTAGAGAGAGCTGCAGGGATACCCACAATTGTAGCAAGTATAGGCCTCAAGGGCACAAGGGACATGTCCCAGACCCATCACCAACACTCCCCTAAGTAGAAACACCCCCCAATACATATTAATTTTCTTCACACAACAGTAGGTAGGAAAAGCTTATACACAAGGAAGTGTAACGTGCCAGGAAAAGTAACCAAATGTTGAACATTAATCCATGGGGCAAGGACCTTACATTCCTTTGGAGTGTGACACTAGGGAGGGAAGGGAAGTAGAAATCAAGAGGAGCCTTTGGGGAAAACTTACATGCAACACCGGCATAAACTGGGCCAGGTGCGGGACCATTTCTCTCCAGGTTGTGGTGGGGAGCTCAAACCATGAGTGGGGAGCAACAGTGAGAAACTTGTAAGCCAGGAGGATGACTGAGTAAGGAAGAAATGCCCCCAATACCAAGAAAGCTCTTGCTACAACAAAGGTATAGACTCCGCCCTAGCTGGTTCGGCTCAGGGGATAGAGCGTCTGCCTGCACACTGAAGGTTCCCAGGTTTTATTCCGGCCAAAGGCACATGCCTGGGTTTCCGGCTCAGTCCCCAGTAGGGGCGTGCAGGAGGCAACTGATCAATGTTCTCTCTCCATCATTGATGTTTCTATCTCTCTCTCCCTCTCTCAAATCAATAAAAAATATATTTTAAAAAAAGAAAGGCGTAGACCCAGCCTCAGGGTCTATAGCATTACAGCTTGGATACATTATGAAAAGATTCAGATGAAAGAGGACATGGGTGGAAGACCTAGATTACGCTCATCAAGTTTTCAGAAAGATGGGGAGTGATCCCAGGGAACACCTACCTCCCAGGGAGACTAACTTTATGGGAAGAACATATATGTGGTATGTATTCTCCATAAAGACGACCCAGAAAGCCTTCCACATAAATGACAGGGGTAAATATTCCTTGTCAGTGAGCCTGGTGTTTCTTGGCTCCCCAGCCATGGAGAGGTTACCTGGCTTGAAGCTAGTGGGGAAGCAGATGATTATCAGTGGACCAGAAGGAAGGTGAGGGGGAAAGGTGACCCGATATGGACTCATAATCCTTCCCAACCAAACACACATTCCTACACAAACAATGGCTAAAACACCAGAACAAGTACCCAGCAGGCGCTGAGCACTGCCCCACATCTACTGCCCCTCCCTGAGACCAAACCTGCACCGTGTCTTCTCCACTGGAAGTATCTGCACTGTGCTCACTCCTGGGCAGTCCACCAAGTGCTCAAACGACAGTATCATCTGCAACTTGCCAAATACTGGCAGCAGGTTAGGCCCAGCCTATGTTCACCTACTTCTGAGACCGGGACCCTGACCTGCCTCGAGAGAGAAGTGTGACCAGGACCCATCCTGTACCAAGCCATAGAATCCACACCAAGCTGACCAGATGCCAGACAGCAGCTTCCTGATAACTCCTCACCAGTGGTCCTTAGTGGTGAGGTTTTAGAAACACACAATAGCCAACCACCAGAATCTGGGGTGAGGGGAAGAGGACATTCTGAAAGAGTTCCATAAAGGAGTCTTCTATGATAATTACTGTCAATGGGAACCATAGTTCTCACAGGTTAAATCTGCCTGATTTGACCTCACAATTACCCCTTTCCTCCTGCTGCCCCACTTAAAACACACATCCCACAGCACATATATATTACATATGTGATGACATAAAGACATGACTATGGTTGGGGAGGAAGATGAAAGATGCAAAAGGCATGATAACTCCAGACTAGATCAACTGTCCCACAAGGTGACTGACATCGCTTTGAATAGTGTTTCTTGGCATTTCAGCCCCCTGTGTTGTGGTCACTTGAGTGCTTGTTTAAAATGCACATTCCAGGACCATGCCCACTGAATCAGAAACTCCTAAAGGGATTCTGTGCTCTGTGGAATTTGAGAAACACTACTACTCAGCCCCGTACACATCTTTGACCTGCCCCCAACTCTCCAGGACCCAGGGCCCAGCCCTGCTACACCAGGGGCCGAGCATCACCTGAGATTATCTTCCTCACTGTCCTGACATCAGCCCCACCTCCAATATTTTGGAAATCTGACAGTGTCTTCTGCTTATGTTGGCTGTTCTTGAGCAGGAGAAAAGTTACAACCATTGTCCACTCATTCCCTTGGCTGAGTGCTTCACTGAGTCCCTTCTGCTATGGAAACCCCCTTGCTTCTTCTGAAGTTTCATTCCACTTCCAGAGGTGATGAAAGCAGAACTCCCCCAGCTCCAAGTAGCTCAGCCCAGCACGAGCAATGGCTTTACTTCTCTCTGGGCAGGTCCTATCCCGCATCAGAGCCACCTAACATCACCCAGAGCCAATTCTACCCAAACAGCTTCCGAGTCACTGCCCACAGTCTCTGGCTACCCAGGAAGCAAGGAAAATCCAACTGCTAGACCATGGGCCTTCCAGGTGAAGGCCCATGGTCCAGCTTTGTGGGACTGCTGCTGGCACTGCCTCTGGAGGCATGTCTGGTCTGAGTGACCAGAGGCTGGGGACTCTGTCCCGGGCCTTCCTCTCTACCAGGGCTCATTGCTGATCCACGTTCTCCCTTCCAGGGGTGGATTTCAAAGATACAGACATTTATCCAACTCTAATTGGGATTCCATTGAGAAATTCCTAAACACAAAATCTCCTTGAACAGTTTTTCTGCAAGGATAAATCCGAGGTGCCTGCATGTCTAGACCAGAGCACCTCTCCATCTTTCTAGGACTGTTATGGAATATGGGCCTTTGAGAAAGGGAGAGAGAACTGGTTCATCTCAACCACAGCTCAGCCAATTACAAGGCACAGGGCAGAACAAAATCTGCCCAGGAACAAACCATCTCGCACCCAATAGCGAGGTCTGCGGGTCTCTCCTTTCTACTTCCCTTCCACTCTCTTCTGGCACCATCTCTGTGACAACCGCTGGCTGGCCTCTCTCCAGGATGTTCATTTCACTCTCCTAGGACTTTCTCCTATCCTTGCTGACCAAAAATGTATAGCCCACTGGCCTGGAGCCTTGGGTATGGCTCTCACCTATGCCCTAGTCCCTCTGTGCTCCAGCTTCTGCTGGAATAGCTGCTTAAACCGAGTGTGCCATCATCTAAATCCCTTTCTTGGGGCTGTGAGGGTAGGCAGGAGACGGCTGCCTAGTTGGAGGAAGGCGGAGTTGGGATGGGCTAGAGAGTGCTGGTTCAGCCCCCTAATGGGGCATCAGCCTCTGATGCCAGTCCCCAGCAGAGCTCCACCCAACACCTGGCAGTGCTGCCCCCTCTTTCACTGCCACCAAGTGGCGGTCATGAGCATGTTTGGTGGCTTTGGGTTTGCCGCAGTGCCAGGATCTGAGACACTGTTCACGTGCCAGTGCAGCACTGCCAAGCGTGGCAGCATCTAGTTGGTTGGGTGCCAAGCAATAGGACTCAGGTGGCGACAGGGTGATGAGAGGTCGAGTAGAAGGAGGGGGAGAAGAGAAAGGCCCCAGGGAGAAAATCAGACACCTCACTTGTTAGAGTGGAGAGTCCAAATGGGATCCGCAGAAAGGTGCCCTTCCCATTCTAGACCCCAGTTCAGCAAGCAAGCCCTTCCCTTCCCCACCACGCCCGCACAGTAACATATACAGACGGCAAGAGGG